CAAGGTAACCGAGATCATTGGAACAGCACAATTTCAGTTACCGCAAATAATCCTAAAATTCTCTGCTAACCTGCCCCTTAAAAAATCAACGCAAGGCCTCTAAAAATCTTATTTTCAGGCCCGGCTGTCCGATTTCTCAAAGCTGGCGCATTCCCCCTCGTCTACAATGCGAGTGGATAGGCATAAGCGGCAATGTGATGATATGGGATGTGCGCCTCCTCCACTTTGTATTATGTGTCCGGTTCGTTTTACGGTTTCATCACTCGGATTCCCAGAATACCTTAAAAATTCCGGAAAAATCTGTAGTCTTAACGTTTTAAAAATGCTTAAATTCTAAAATCATCCTATTTTTGTAGGCATGTTGTGCGGCGCCTCGCCCATCTCCTCCTCCTTGCTGTCTCTCGCCTAACCCCGGTCCCTCCATGCCCATGTGCACCTCCACCACCACCACCATGTTGTCAAGCACCAGCACCCATGCCAAGCTGTCCATGCTCTGCGCCGCCATCACCCTATATTCAGGTAGGAGAGGGGAGAGAGAGAGAGGAGAGAGAGAGAGAGAAACAGAGCAAAAACAACAATATATCCACCTTTTTCAGATAGTAATCTGCTGCAAAGCTTCCCCAAGCCCGGCCAATCCTTGTTGCCAAGCTCTGGCTCCTCCAGCCCCACCACCACCACCTCCGTGCTGTTTGGTTGGGTTAAAAACCGGAACTTCCATATTTTTGCTAGATATTCGACAAGATATCGAAAATTGGCGCAAAAAAGTTGAATCTTCAGTTCAAATTTTTAAACCTGATGGTCTGATCAGGCTTACTTTTTTACCAATCGCTTTCTGACCGACAGTTTACAGTTTTCGATTAAAAAACCTCTCAAAACTCTTGTAGAAATTAGAAAATTATGTGTTTCAGGCGGCTCCATCCCGGCCAACCCGTGCTGCCAGCCAATCCAGCCTCAGCCATGCCAATGCTCGGTAGCCTTTAAAATGAATAGAGTTATCTCTTTATTTAGATCAATAATTATAATTTGTGTATTTTCTCTTTAGGCCCCACGCCCAGTACCGTGTCGTTGTTCAGCGCCGGTGATGGAATGCCCTGGTTGTGCCCCACCACCCCTTCGATGCCCCGTGGCTATTCAGTGCCGGATCGGGTAAAAAATTACATAATTATTCATTCAGAAAAGTTCGACATTTGTACACGTTAAATCATAGTTTCCTGAAATACCACTGCTCTTGCGTTTGCAATTTCCCAAAAAAAACGAAGTTTTCAAGCTATTTACAATCGGTCGACAACTTCGGGAACTCATTTTGCCGCGTTTTCTCGCAAAAACAAGTTTCCAATAGCTTTTAACGACCCCATACACCCTACCCCAATAGGCTACTTCCTCTTTTTCAGTTTCAGGATGCGTCGCGACATCCACCACTCGGTCATGAAGATGTTGCACCATTTGTAGATGGCTATTCTAACGGGAGCGGGTCTCTTTTTTGTTGGATTTTTTATTTATCGGTGTGTCTTCAGAGCAATAAAGATTTCTATCAAATTTGTGTAGCGGCCAAAAAGCAGGAGATGGGGCCGGATGAGCGTGATTAGGGTTTATTTTGGACGGAAATGGCAGGAGCAAATCCCTCAAAAATAGCATTACTAACGAATTAAATGTAATTTTTGGGATTATTGTATGTCAGCTTCGATAAATATCTACTTTAAAGACTATTTTTGTGCTTATTTTGTACAATTACATCGAAGAAACGTTAAATATAGATGGTGTTTTCGCGATTTCTCAGGTTAGACGGCTTCCAAATTATTTTCTCGGCTTTCCGGAAGCCCCATTTGGTAGGCGTGACTTTTCCCCCTGGAGTAAAACACCCGTTCGTAGCTCATCAAAAATCCCAAACACGAAGATACCACATTTCTCATCCGTGTGATCCCACTGGAGTGAGTCCATTTCCTCGATTACACGCTTTCCTATTCAAAGAAAACTGCAAAAACACACCATTTTATGAATTTTTGGTCCTACTGTACTCCAGAATAGTATATTTTAAACTTTGCTGCGATTATGGCCTTGCGTTTTTTTGTTTTCTAACTCCAAAGTTTACAAAATGTGATTTTTGACGGTCAAAATTGTACTCTTAAAATCAACATAATTAAGTTATAGAAGCAATAATCAGTAAACAAATACCTGCCCGGTACTCCCCGGAAGTTCTGCATCAATCCCCAAAAAGCAAAAAATTTCGACCACGGCAGGACTCGAACCTGCAATCTTCGGCTCCGGAAACCGACGCCTTCGCCATTAGGCCACGCGGCCACGGGGAACGGCACAGAGGGACGGGTTTTGACCCCACGATGGCACCCAACGGGCATCACAGGGCACTCGCCGGTGACTGGTTTTTCACTGTCAATGCGCGTTTTCAGAACGAAATGATGATCATGGGTTATTATACTATTCAAAAACAGGTGGAAAAGTGATAAATGGGACTGAGAAATATTTTCTATAGAAGATTGGGTCCGACTGGCTTTTCAATAGGCTTTTGATCGGGGAATTTGATTTTGGCCTGGAATTCGAAGTTCTCAACAATGTAGCCAAATTAAACCAATCTTTACCAGTTTTTTAGGAATCGATGTAAGTTAATGTATGCCAATTGTTTCGAGACCTCCGATCCGATAAAAATGCCCAATTTCCCGTTTTTAACACGTTGTTTAGAGCGCAAGTTCATTTTTGCCTCGAATTGAAATTTTAAAGCAGTTGACAAGGATTACCCGTAATTTTTGGGCTTTTCTTTCACAAAATTACTAACTGGCAGTCAATTAACTTATTTAAGTGGTATTGGAGCTATTTTTAAGCGATAAAACATTATTTTAAAAGTCAATAGGCAAATTTACCGCTTTCCCCCGAACAGTTCACCCGGCAGACAGTTTAACTTTTGCAAATTCGCTGCGGAACCGGTTAATCCTCGAGGAAATTGCCGGCTAAAAGGGCCATTTGGGTGAGACATCACTCGGCAAAAAGAAAAAGGAAAACAGAACGAGCCCGATGCGGGGCTGGAATTGACTGCCATTTCTGGCAAGTATTTACCCAGTCCAAACTCGAGAGCCTCTATCCACTCAGTCAACGTTTCTCGGCCCAAAAAAAGGCCACAATTTTTTATTTACCCAACATTTTGTGACGCGCCGTTGACGCTGAATATTTTAGTTTTTTGTTGTTTTTTCATAAAAACTACACTAAAAAAGTTAGTAAAATCTGTTTTCAGTTTTAGTTTTATTTTGCATAAAATTCTATTGTTTATTCTTTTTAACTGTCATGCAAACTACAATTTACACTACAAAAACTCTAGAAATTTATCGATTTTGGTGGATTTAGTCTAATTCTCGGCACCAAAACGAACCGAATAAACTTTGTTTCATCGATTTTATGGTTTGTTTCATATTTTATTTGGCTTCCTGACATCCATTTTATAATTTAATACTTATATTTCGAAGAATTTTAGTCAATTGAATGATTTCCATTCCAGGGCCCTCAATTTCCAAAGAAGAATGGCCCCCCTTCGCCCCTCCTATAAAAGCGTGCCTGCCATACCCGGGGTGAGTGATACTTCTCATTTTCAAATTTCTGTAAAAAGTGATGGCAATAAGGACGAGCATTGACGTAAGACAAAGCAGATAAATAAATAAACTACTTAATGTTCCCCGTGAAATCAATTTGAAAGTTATAAAAATTAATCGAGAAAGTGCGAAAGATTACGCCATGAAAGTCATCTCAAACTTGCCCTGATCCGGCGGATATCAAAGACCGGATCCCCGGCGGCCGTACTAAATTTGTGTTCTGTCTTATCTGCTCGCCAGCCCCCCCCATTAAAATGACTTCCTTATCACTTTTTTCTGCGTTTCCCCTTCCTTGCAGCGCTCATTTTGGCGGTTAGTTGATGAATTTGGAGGAGATGTTCAAGGGCAATGCTCTTTTCTCTGATTCTCTCTCTCTCTCTCTCTCTTGTCTCTCAACTTCTCGAAATGATAGCTAACCTCCCGCTCAATTTTCCAGTGGATGCCATTTGATCACGACATCCTCTCCCTCCCTCTCTCGTATAATATATTACCATCCGTTCCAGCAATTTTTCGGAAAGAAGAAATATTCTGTTTCCCGTTCCCCGGTCCCCCATTCGCCATTCTGAATCCCAGACGCTTTCTCGTCAAAATTCCTCTTCCAAATGACGAAGCCTGCCCGAAATTCCGTGATTCCTCTCGAACAGGTGGGTAGAGGCGAAAATCATGGTTTTGGGCGGTTCGCAGAAAAAAAATTCAATTTTTGCGCCCGAATCATATGATTTCATGTTCGAAAATGTATTTGCCCAAAAATGACTATCTCACCCACCTAACTGACCAGCAATAAATGGCGTCCATCGGTTAATTGTCCGCTCGGAGCTGCAGCTGCTACTCTCTAAAAGCTATCTTTAAGTTCAGCTTCACCCCTCGTTCTTCCCTCAAAATAGCCTCCTCCCCAATTAAAGTAGCGGTGATCTCCGGGCTTCCGGCCGCAATATAAATTATTTTTTGAGGTAATTCTGAGTCCAAGCGTACTATTGAGGCGATAATCGTGATGCTGAAACGAACGAAAATAGCACTAAAGGTGAAGAGGGTTAAATCGGTGAAAAAGTGATGGATTAGCTATTTTGACTAGCGACACCAAAAGGGGAGTAAATATGGGGTTTGAGCGCCGGACTGAAACGTTTGGATCCGTACATCGATTTATGAACACTTCGGCCGTGCTCTTTACTGTCTGTCCGTCTTTCTCTCTCTCTCTCTCTCTCTCTCTCTCTCTCTCTCTCTCTCTCTCTTTGCCTAGAAAAGATGGTCTTTCAAAACGACTCTCGACAAACAGTTGTCTTTTCTCTCCATTCATCAATCTATCTACTCGACCTATTCCCCCCCCCCTCCTCTACCCAATTCACTTCCCCGTTCCTTTCCTTTCCTAGTTCCGTATTTTCCCGCAATTTTTCTAGCCAACTAAACGTTATGAAGACTTCTCGGATTTATAACTCCGTAAGTTTCACAAAAAGCCATAAAAATTAAAAAATCCGGTTTTAAGGTTGAACCCCGTAAAAATAAGGCCTAAAAAGTTTTAATCAATATGGCAATACTTTAAATAATTTAGTTGACAAGCAAAGCGACGGCCCATCAAGAATATTACTATACGAAGGTGCAACGACAAGTCTACTTTACCACCTCCATCAATCTATTCGTCTCCCTTATTTGCGTTTTCGTCGAAATTTTCATCTGGTGTGCGACCAATCATAGCGTAAAGTGAGTTATATAGATTTTTTTAGTTGGTTTTGATTAAATTAAAAATTATCCTGGATTTTTTCTATCTTAAGATTCTAATTTTGCATAATTTTTTGATACGTTTAGCTGTAGCTTAATAATAATTTAACGCGCCATTTTTGGCTCTGCATCTTGACCTCGTTGATCTCGCGTGACCAGCTACAGCATTGCCAATTCCAGACGGGGGTCGAACACTAGCAATTAATGTAAAAAAAACTTGCGGCGGCTCATACCGACTATTTTAAGCATTCTCAATGGCGGAAGGGGTGGAAATCGATAAATGGCTTCATCCAGAACATAATTTTAAAAAGATTAATAATTTTGTAAATTTGAATAGACGAAAAAAAATTCAGAAAAAGCGATAATATTTAATTTTGGGCATTTTTAAAATATAACGTTTGGCAGGCTTTTCCCGTGGTCACGAATCCATCCGTACCTGGTGGGCCTGTTCTTCTTCCTCAACCTCTTCTTTCACTGCATTCTCCTTCTCGGCGCCAGAAAATTGTCCGTTATGACGTTGCGCAACTATATCCTGCTGCAGGTCTGTTTAAATTTTGAGGGTACCTTATTTTTGGCCTATAGATCCCCTCTGGATTTTGCTGAGGCCGCGACACGCAACGCACACGCGCCGTTCGGCCAGCCAAACGATGCTGGAATAGATTATGCAGTGTAAATAGAGAGGCATGCGTTGCAGGTCGCGTCGCCTATCGCTTACAGATGCGATGCGTGTCGCGTTGCGTGTCGCGGCGAAAACTTGGAACCGACAAAGCCTAAAATAATCTTTGCTAGCCTCGCTGCCGAACTTTTGATCGATATTGTTTGAACGCGTTTCAGGGCTTCTTCGGGCTGATGGCAATGTCTTTAATTGTCGTTCTGACGGCCGTCAACTTGAAGAATCATGGCGCCGGGATCGAAGGATACGGGATCTTGCTGAATCGTTTCTTCTTCGCCGGCCTCTCCCTTCTCTCCTTCATCTCTGCCGTCAAAATGCTAAAAATTGCCGTGCACGAGCGGTCGAATGACGCCTAGAAAATAATTTGCTGTTTTTGTCGGGCATTTTAATTAAGTTTGATTTTATTTTCAAAATCGAGGTCCAAAATGTTCAAGTCCGGCCAGAATGTACCTTTTTTCAGGCTGTTTGTTGTGAAACAAAGATCTCTAACCAGATTCAGCATTACTCGTTCCCTGCCATTTCCCTGCCCTGCCAATTTCCAAAACCCATAATTTACCCTCTACTGGCCCCCAGCAAATCCCATTTTCTTCCATTTTATAGCCACTCCCCCTACAGCAGTATGTTTTCCAATCTAATTGCCTCCCAGATTAGCCATTTCCACAAATATTTCCTGGTTTACTTATATCATCAAAACTCGGTGCAATTCCTTCTTTTTGCCTGTGTGCTATTCATTGGACTCTACGGGTTGTTGCTATTTACAATCTATTTTAATTTTTTCTTTTATAAATGAGAGATTAAACATTATGCTAATGCACTGACATAAGTTTGGATTTTAGAAAACCATTTTGGCGTTACTTTAGACGCTAAAAGGCATCGATTACGCAATGTAATTCATGCCAAAACCTCGCTAAAAATCAAGGAGAGCCTCGCGTATTCCAATAGTGGCAAACAGAAAAAAGAACTCGACGATTTTGAACCGATTACGCCTTGTATTTCGGTACGGTACTACGGAATGCAACAAATGACTTTAGACGAGACCACTGGACTCAAAAAGCGGTCTCAAGTTGGTTTTTAAAGTCTGGCAGGTGTTCAACCAACCAATTTGCAACGTCGCCACTTGGCCACTAGACAAGAGCCACAAATCGTTTTTGCGTGGGTTACACGAGTAGTAAAAAAATAGTCTAAATCGATTTAGTGAATTTGGGAAGCAGCCAAAGTCCAAGCCATGAATTTTTCGCGTGTTTTTTTTTGCTAAAGCGATTCTAAGAAGCCTGCTTTTCCGTGATCAAAAGCGGCTGCCAAATCACCATTTCTCTGGGCTCGCCTATCTGGGAAAGTCCGGGGAAAACACAGCAAAAATATACCCAATTTGGTGGTCGGCGGTGGTTGGGCGTCTGTGTAAATTCCGCGAATTTCACACGGCATTAGCCCGTTTTTGCATTACGAATCGAATTAGAGAATTAGATGCAAAAATTCTGTCTCTTCTCCCTCTCTCTCTCTCTCTCTCTCTCGTCAATATCTTAATTGCAGGCTTTACCAATACCCAACAGTCATTTGTAACCGCCTATACATATTACCTAAATGGTCACCCAAATCGGCCTCGGCCATATTATTCTGAATCTACTGGAGGCATTTATATTGGCTGTATTCTCGATTTTACTAGCCAAAAAGCAACGGTTTCACTCGAATTTGAGGTCAGTTGTGCTTCATTTAAAGGGATGGTGACATCAGAAAGACCACCGATAATTTCCTTAAAATCCTCTGCTAGCTCACCAATTTATGATTCTTTTTTAGGTTGAACATCTCGATCCTCTCCGGCTCTATCTTCTATCTATTTTTATTCGATGCATTTGCTGTGGTATCGGGTTTTTCAGAGACTACGGTGGTTTGGTCGTCAGTGAGATTTTTTATTTTTATTTTTCTCAGTTTCCCCTGCCGTTATTTATTCTTAAACAATTCGGGTGGATATGGTATCGATCTGCCCTCATGACTTTTGTCGCTGAACGGTTTTACTGCGCCCGAAATACGAAGAGGTACGCAAACGCACAAAAAAATCGATTAAATGCTGGCCAATTACGTCATTAAAATAACATGATTTTCGGATTCTAATGGCTATAATCGATCACGCCATTAAATACGGATTAAATCTGGAATTTTAGATACGAATCAATGTCATCTCCATCCACAAAAATTGCCTCCATTTTGTGCATTTTATTCCTGGCCCTCTTACTTACCGTAATCATGGTGGCCATGCGTAAGTTGTAAATATTTTTATTTTATCAATTTTTAATTTTTAGAGGGCTCAAAAAGTGTGTATACGGTAATCTGGACGGTAATTATCGAATCGGTCACCATTCCGGTATCTTAATTTGTCTTCATGGAATTTTAACACATTCCAGATGACAATATACGTTTTAATAATTACGCATAGAGAATGGCAAAGCAGACATGGCGGTGCGAATTTGAGTCAGGTAGAAAAACGTTAAATTCTGGCTTAAAGCTATTTTTTAACAATTCGTTCTAATTAATTCAATGTGCACCAGGGTTGAAAAACCGCTTCGCGGCTTTTCAACCCTGGCCCCGTCCAGGACCTGTGAAAGTCCTTAATTTGCATGTTTCTCCCTGAATTCTAGCAAAAAAAAAAGTGAAAAACGGCTCCTCTGTCCCTTTATATAGGCTCTTCCTACTTCCGGCGCATGCTAATTTCCCCTAACAAACAGGGTTTTACAAAAACCTATTTTTAATAGCGAAAACCACAATTTTTCAAAATTTTTATGTGTGTGCAGTCGATTCCGGACCATTCTAAACCTATTGTCGTTTCTTCCCTATCCAAAAAACCCTTTCACGAGGCTGTAGGAGCGGAACATCCAAACGGAAGTGCATGCAAATATACACACACACACACACACACACAGACACTATTTTTTTATACCAGAGTTGAAAAGCCGCTTCGCGACTTTTCAACCCTGGCCCCGTCTGACTTCCATTTTATCCTTCACTTTGCATAATTGGCCTGCTTTCGGACGACCAAAAAAATGAAAAACAACCTCTCCTATCCCGTTATATAGTCGAATCCCAACTTCCGGTCTATGCTAATTTGTTCTAACAAAGAACTTTTCACAAAAACTTAAATTTAATGTCGAAAATAGGTAATTTTGTTGAATCTAAAATGCGTGCAGTCATCTCCAGGCCATTACGCACCTAATGACATATCATACATACCTTAAATTTCATCCCCTATCGAGATATCCTCCGGACAGACATCCGGAAGTGGATGCAAAGTGGCACACACACACAAACACACACACGCACAGACACTATTTTTTTAGTTGAAAAACCGCTTCGCGGCTTTTCAACCCTGGCCCCGTCCAGGACCTGTGAAAGTCCTTAATTTGCATGTTTCTTCCTGAATTCTAGCAAGAAAAAAAAAGTGAAAAACGGCTTCTCTGTCCCTTTATATAGGCTCTTCCTACTTCCGGCGTATGCTAATTTCCCCTAACAAACAGGGTTTTACAAAAACCTATTTTTAATAGCGAAAACCGCAGTTTTTCAAAATTTTTATTTGTGTGCAGTCGATTCCGGACCATTCTAAACCTATTGTCGTTACTTCCCTATCCAAAAAACCCTTCCCCGAGGCTGTAGGAGCGGAACATCCTAACGGAAGTGCATGCAAATATACACACACACACACACAGACACTATTTTTTTATATATAGTAGGATATAGTAGGATTTTAATTTACTATCCCTAACATTGTTTTTTAAATTCCGAAAATTGGAAGCAAAAATTTTTGCGCAAAAGCATTCTAAATATTTACAAACCCAAACCTCGAAAGATCTATGAGTCATTTTAAATAGATTTTTCTGGATTTTAAGTGTAATATTTAAACTGTCGTCCAAACTATAATTTGGACCTAGATAATTCTAAAATTTTTGAGCATTTTATTTTTAAACCATTTATTCCTTGAGATTGAACAGCAAAAGCTTTTAGAAACTAACTTTCTAGTTTTTCATTGCTTTCACTAGTTTCTAAAAATATTATTTTTTAAACTGTCATCCAATCTATAATTTCAAACGGCCTGAAAATTACTGTAACCGGTTTCAGCGCTTCCAAATTGCCGAATGCCGAGCATCAGCCAGATTTTTCGTGCCTCTAGTCTTCAGTAATTTCGGGGCCGTATTGATATTTTTGGGGCTACAATCATTAACGGCATTTGCCGATTTGACGGCCGATGAATTCGCTACAGTACGAATGTTTATCGACCTGGTAGGTATTTTTAAAGAGGTGGCGCAGCTTAAAAATCGCTAAAAACCGCCTAAAACTCTGTTTTTTGGGCAAAACGACCTCTTAAAATTCGATATTTTTTAGCTCGACGTCTACCAGCGCTCCTTTTACGTTTTATGCGTGGTTATTGCCGAGGAAGATATTCTGACGATTCTCTGGCCATTTTCAAACCGTAGACGCAGATCCGGAATCTGGAATCCAGTGTCAAAACGTCGGAAAATATTGCCACCAGTCGTCAAACATCAACTCGAAACTGACGCGTATTTTAGGCATATTAATGCGGCTTGGAATTAAATATAAATAAAATTATATAATTCCAATCATCGAAAATCCATAACCAAAATAGACAATATGGCTATGAATATTTTAATTTACAATTTTTAAGCTTTTAAAGTGTTCGTGCCCTTTCATTATTTGTTCACTAATTAAATAAATCAAATCCATTTAATTTTTATCACGATTTTAAGGTGTCTGTTGTGTTCTTTAAGGTATAGTCGATAATATTTATTTATTACTTGCGTCCTCCCGTCTTATTAAATTGTTCATTTTTATTTTTATTTTTCTGCCTTTTCCGCCTCACATCACCCGCCATTCAAGCTGCTGGCAAATCAGGTTGTGCAGCTAAAAGGCATTTATTGGCGTTTTTTCGTTGACCATACCCATATCGCCAAAAATGAGGCTCCCACGATTCCAATCGAGTCTGACGTCGTCATCACAGCTAGTGAAAACTCTTTGTCTTCTTTTTTGGCCTGAAATTTTGAGATTTTGGAGTAAGCGAAAAATCGACAGCTATTTGGGAAAATTCAAATATTCTCCCCAAAAAAAATTACTTTTCCCCTTAAAAGCCGCCCAATTCCTTACGTTTTTATGTATATGGCTGAACGTCTTGACAAGACTCGATCCACCCATCAATCCCTCCATGCAAATTAGGGAGAATGCGACGGCGATATGGGGCAGGAAGGCGAACAGGGCTTCCAGGTAGAAGAAGATCGCATTTCCGACCTAAAATATTTTTATAGTGACTGTAGATTTTTAAGCTGGTAAGTCCTGAAAAAATGGTACCTGAAGTACGGGTAATAAGTAGAGGACCCAGACGGGGAAATCGATGATGGAAAGTGAGGATTTGGAGATGAAGGTCCCGGCACGGTAGACCACCTAAAATATCGATTTTCGCATGAATTAAATGCGCTTAAAGGGATGGTTACAGCTAAAAAAACCTTGACAACAACGCGGTAGGACAAATTACGCGTTCAAAAGAGTTATTACGGCCAAAAACTCTTTCAAAAACGCGTAATTTGGTGAGTTACAGAGTTGTCGAGACGTAGCGATAAGTAGGGGTCGTTTTTGCCAATTCCTTTATACTGTTCGCAAAAATTTGTTCTCCCTACCTGAAACCATCGATATTGGCTCTTGGCCGTCAGCCCCATTCCATTCGCACAATCAAAAACGATCAATTGGGTCTGGAAGGGTAATTTGTAGTTCATAGTCTAACGCAAAACTAACGAATCCTTGATTAATCGTGTATTCGGCCATGTAGACCAGGATTAGGGGGATGGCGAAGCGAAGAAGTGACTAAACGTTGTGATTTATGGTTTTGTTAATTGTCAAAAATAACCTTGATTAGCACAGCTTTTTCCATCCAATTTCCCTTCACCAATTCCAGCGATTTTTCAACGTCTTTTTCTGATTTTTCCGGGTCTCCAGGAGCGGAGGATTCCTTTCCTTTTCGACATAATAAGCATAGACTGGAGGAATGATCGAGTACCAGATAGAATACGGTGGTGTACGCAATCGGGAAGAACTGAAATCAAGTTTTAAAGGGGCTCGGAAGTGCTAAAATCGTCCCTTCCAAAAACTAGGCCTCGGCAGCTACGAGTTCCCTAAAAACATGACCGAACGGCTTTAAAAATTCAGTTATAATGGCTAAATGGCGCAACAGGTGGATTCGAATTCAGCGAATCCTAGACCTTTTAAAGGTCCACTGAAGCCATGAAAAGCTATGCATTTTTCTACTTACCAACATTAACATCAATGCAGTTTCTGCTGTCAGATTTCCCAAGTGTGGTTCGGTCATCCCGGCGTAGAGGATAGAGCCTAAAGTTGGGAAAATAGCGCTTTAAAGGAATGGCGACAGCTAAACCCCTGATTTTGAAAATGCCGGATTCTACCGTAACGATCCCTTTAAAATTTTGATACTGTGGTTTCCGAATTTAAAGTTGGTGTAATTGGGAAAATTTCACCAAATCGTAAAATCACGATGATTTAAAGTTTAAATGGATCGAGACAGCTAAAAATCAAGCGCTAAAATAGTTAAATTTTGCTGAAACTCTCCTGTAAAACTACGATACCATAGCTGCTAAATTTTGAAGCTGATTTCCATGAAGTAACGCCCATATTTTTCTTACCAATCATGCCAGCAGCCCCAGTGCCCGATGCCCATGCTATCGTAGTCGAGGCAGCAAAATGAGAAGAATAGGATACCATCGATGATTCGCCCAACCCCCCGGCGGCTGAGATTAGGGAAACGCCTAAATTTCGTGATTTGGTAAGGTATTGACTGAATTTCCGTACCGAGTATTGCCATGGAATAGCTTTTGGCGGTGGCCACGATCAATAGAGCGCCCATTTGAGAGATTATAACGAGAGTATGACGGATCCTAAAAATATACTATTCTTGAAGACAGGGAGAGCGAGACAGAGGGAGCGAGACAGAGGAGAGAGAGAGAGAGAGAGAGAGAGAGAGAGAGAGAGAGAGAGAGAGAGAGAGAGAGAGAGAGAGAGAGAGCGCGAGCCAGAGGGAGACACAAAGTGAGACAGATAGAGAAATATCGAAAATGATAATTTTTTTACTAACCAGTAAGGTACTGCTTGCAAGAAAAACATGACGAAAATCTTGATGAATAAACTAGGGAGAATATCAGCTAACAAAACGTGACCAGTCGATTTGGTACCCTGGCAATGTTGAGTGCCGCGTTCTACCTGAAAAATTCGGTGCTTCAACAATTCTCAAGCCAAAAAAATCCACGAAAGTTAGGCTCCGCAAATGGTCTCTGCTAGCTTGCCTTTAGCTTTTTCGGATGTCGATTTACCCACCGGACAAGTGCCATTGATATGCCCATGATGAATATGGTCCTTATCGATGATATCCTCTGCTGCAGAAAGCATCAATATATAAGGGATCGTGTTGCATAGCCCGAATGTCCTAAACAGATCGATTACGCCATGTAATTCACCTCAAAAGCAGGGCCAGCTACCCTTTAAAAACGCACCAGAAAGCGATCAGACTCCGCCACGACGCATTGTCCAATGGGGCAAAGGACATCGGGTTAGGATCCCGATTTTTTGCAGGTTAAATTGGCCCTGAAAAGCAGTTAAATGATCTTTAGAGAATAAGAAAAATGAGCGATAATAACAGAATGAGAGAGAGAGTCTGTCAAAACAGGGAAACGGGTTTCATCGACATATCGATACGGAAAGAGAGTAGTCGATTGTTTTGATGGTTATCATTGGAGATCTTCTATTATGACGATACTCGACAATTAGAAATAGACTTATCCATCATTTAATCAAGAAAAACGTAACGTATTTGCAACAGCCAAAACGTTCTTCAAAAAAAAATTTAAAACGTCCTTTCTTATTCTTTTTTGTCAAAAAATCCAGAAGATTGGAAACAAAAAGCGTTGCCTTTCCTTTTAAAAAGTTCCATGAGCAGACGACAACAAGAAAATCGATGAGTTTATGTCAGAAAGGAAAACGCCCTGGATTTATAATTATCTGAACAATCCGTCGCAAAACTCTGCAAAAAGTAGTTTCCAAAATAAAAATAAGATATTTTAAAAACAATTTTAAGAAGGAAAAAAAAATAAAGCTGAAAACGACAGTGATTTGCGGTGATGAAAATGAGAGCCGAATCCCAAAACAAAGACAAAAAATGCCGCGTAAAAATGAAACGTCGAAATTGGAGGGTTCCGCGGTGATATTTGATAGATTGATGGTGGGAAATAAAGGAAGAGGGAGAGAGAGCAAGAGATGGAAAAGGAGAGCATGAGGGGGATGATGAAAGAAACCAATCCATCCATCAAAAATATCCTTCCTTGACCATTCCCGGTCTCAATTTCTAATAAAAAAACGGGTATGGGTGGGCGGATGTGTTCGAATCACGAGAAATCGAGAGGGGGATGACGCCGGGAAAGATGATCTTTCCGGTCATCATCAAAAATCAGACCAAAATAGCATAAATTGCCGAGTTAAAAACGCAACGCGTTGTTCCAAGACTTTTACGGCGCAGGATATGATATCTCTACGCATGCACTTCATTTTTAATGCCCATACGTCCCTGAAATGCGGTTAAACATAACCCTATATTTGAGAGATTTTTGCCCTGCGCAAAACGTGAAAAATACGTTACCACCGCATCCGGGTCGTGGATATCAAAGCAAAACAAAAATCGATGAATGGGGGCGCAATTTTGTTCCGGTCAACCAGCGAGCCGTTTCCCAAAAATCGTTGACGAATTTATTCTGAAGCGTGGGCTGGGAATGGGGCTGTTGAATACAATAATTCAACATCAATGGCTGGCTCAGGAAATCCTCAAGAATCTCTGCTCTCTACCCCATGCGCGAAGGATCACTGCTCGCTGCCCAATCCGCAAGAATCTCTGTTCGTTGCCACATAAAAATCGGGTTATCCAGTTACACCACTGAATTTCATCCAATTAGGCCATGTAATTCGAAGCGATATCTACGTTAAATCGGCTAAATCCTGGTCCTTTAATCCTCAAGGTTCTCTGCTTGCTGCGCATCCGCTAAGAAGCTCTGCTCGCTGCCCTGAACCCACAAAATCACGAAAAAGCCATTACGCCATGTATTCTGATGTGCTTTTCATCCCGTAATGCGTTAAATCTCCTATCTTTATTTACACGTACACAATCTAATCCGAAAATATCATGATCACAAAATGGCAACTGTATCAACCCGACACCGACTACGGTATGAATAGTCACAGACTACAAGATACAATCGATTACGTCATGAAATTAAATGGCGGATGACTATTTCTCGCGCGCCGGCTCGGAAATGTGAAGGGTTCGTGCTCGTTGTGTTGCCAGATCCTCATCTCCAGTTGCTGTCAGTAATCGTCTTTGGCGAGCCTGAAAAGGGTCGAGTTAGCAGAGAAAATTGGGGAAGTCGGAAATTGCAGCAATTCGCTGAAAATCACCTCAATTACTGATTCCTCAAGATACGGTATTGGTGGTGGGCGTGGCCTCAGCTTTTTCTCTGCATAATATCCGACGGTGCCGATGATCGTGGCGATCGGGAAGACAAGCCAGTTCGAGAATCTTTGGCCTGAAAATAGACGTTTTAACCAGATTTTCTATTCTAAACAAGTTTTATTAACAAAGTTTTCAAAAGAAATTGGTACTGGACTGTTAGCGGGGGCAGGTTATTTATATGTATAGTTCCATAGTAAAAATACGCGTTTTATGGTGGATTTATATAGTTTTTTAGCGGTTTTTAATTACCAAAAAGCCCTAAAATTTCAAGGTTTTTTCATCAAAATTCGAAATTTTTAACCTTTTTTGGTTATTATTCACAGATTTTTGAGCATAAATCAAAGAATTTAGAAAATTTTAATATGTTTAGGGGAAAATTTTTAATAGGTTTATTATTTAAAAACAGTCAGTATTTCATTACGGGGACGGGGGCGAGAGGCCAAGGTCAGCCCCCAGCTAATAGTCCAGTACCCAGAATTTCATTATAAAAACTTTATATGGCCGTTGGAAAGCTATAAACTACCAATAAACAAACAAAAATTCGGTCTATAGCTGCTATTGAAAACAACGAACCTAACGCGTAGAAGACGGGCCACATTCACACTTCAGCGCCCGGAAGGAAGGTTGAAGAACCCTGTCAGGCTGCATTGAGTTAATTTCATGACGTAATAGGTATTCTCAGGGTTCAACAGCCTTCATAGTTTGTAGCTTCAAAACGAGGAGCCCAGAAATCATATGGATTTATAGCAAAAAGTCGCAAAAAGTAACAACGTGAAATTCCATGGGCGAAAAACAATAACAAGAAATGGGGGCAACACGCTGAGAATTGAGTATCTGAAGGGAGGAAGAAGTGGGGACAAATTTTAAGGGAAAATGGGAGGTACCGGGTATAACGCATTACGACATGAAATTCGAAAGGGGGCTAGCGGTATAAAAATACCTAGAAGATGATATTCTGTGGTTCGGTGGTTCCGGTGTGTCCGCATCGGGCCGCATCCAGCTTGCATCGCACGCCCAGATCCGTCATTCGCTGCGAGATCTCGTTCTTCCGCTCGTTCAGCTGCGCCTTTTGCTTTTCGTAACTGGCCTGGAAATAAAAATTTAAATTTAATAAAATCAGATAATTAAATTAATTTGCTCCAGCTTAATTGAAAGTCAACGCACGAAACGTCAATTAACTTTAAGAGAGTACGAAAATGCAGAAAAAATTAATAAAGAAAGTCAGATAATTAATTCAAAAAAATTCCATAAGATAAAATTACCGATTTGTAATTTTCAAATCGTAAAAAACGTACAGTAATATTTTCAGCGGCCTGCTCGGCTTCCTTGATGGCGAGCGCGCGAAGAGATCGGTGCTGCTCGCCCTGGAGTGTAAGAAGGCGAAGACGAGCACGTTCCTGAAAAAAATAATTTTAAAGGACTGTAGAAGACAGAAAAATAGTAGACGATCACTTTCGAAAACCGCGATTTAGAGAAATTATTTTACCGAAACCCAGATGTTCGAAAACCAGAATTTCGCAAAATTTAGGACTTATTTCCGATTTTTAGAAATCAGACGCCTTTTCGAAATCTTAATTTTCGGAAAAATCATCTTCGAAAATCTGCCTAGAAATCCAAGCGAACCTTCAACATGAGCAAATCGGCCTGCTGGCGAATCTGGGCGAATTGGATGCGCTTCTGGATGCTCTTCAGCTGGGCGCGGGCTACATCCGAGAATAGGGCCGTCGCCTCCTGGATGTGCGGCTTGGCCAGCTGAAAAAGAGCGAGATATGAAAGCAAATTAAAAAATACGAAGCACGCCAAAATACAGCCAAAAACGGCAAATTTAGAATTTTCAAAATATCAAAAGCGGGATTTTTGCTCAAAAATTTTTGGAATTTTAAAAACTGCCGTTTTTCATCTCTGCTCAACGACAGCACGAACTTTCTCGAAATCAAATTAATGAAGTACGAGCTAAATTTACATTCTTACAATGTAAATTATGTCTTTTTTGCTCAAAAAAATACCTCCTTAGCTTCCGGATCACGTTTTCTGATGATATCGGAGATGGCGAGCAGCTGCAGCGCGTACCGCAGCCCCATCCGGTAGGCCAACTCGGAGAGCACGCGCGACATCGAGTAGGTAATGCTAGAAAATATAAATAACCCATCACGCAATGAAATTCGATACCTGATATCCTCTTCCTGGGCTCGGATCAACAAGATTTGGCGGAACTCTTCGAAACTAAAAAAATTAAGTTAAAAGGCAGCACTCAGAAATGATTTGGGGAAGATTTTGACAAAAAATACCTGTAATTCCTGGTCTTGATGACGAGCGATCGGTCGAGGAAGTCGCGCGGGATTCCCATCGGGCTGCGGTGCTCCGATTCGCGGATCTGGCGGACACCCCTAGAAATATGGATAAAATAGGATAACGTGGCGTTATCGATTCTCCTAAAAACATCTCTACATAGCGTAACCGGTTAGCCTAAGCACCTTTCAGAATGACCTAGCGTCATCCATTAACCTAAAAAAGCCGCTTAGAGCTACGTAGAACGCTCAGTATAGCTCTAAAAATTACTTTGCATTTGTTGCGATGATGAGCAGCGGGGAGATGTCGCCCTCGATCAGCCGATTCAGGAACGAGAAGCAGCGCATCGTCAGCAGATGGGCCTGAAAACCGAACTTGTAACTTTCAAATTCTATAAAATACCTCATCAATGAAAAGAACGCCGGAGACGATCTGCGCCCTGCCCTCGTCACGCCATTCCGTCACCTAAAATCAATTGAATAAATAAATTAGATATAAAAATCAAGATTGTAAATATTAAATAAAATTTGAATTAATTAAAAAATAAATTTTTAATAGACCACCTTTTTGTTAATAGCCGCCCGGACTTCGTGGCTAATCTCGCCGGTATCACCCGTGAAAATGGCTTCATAGCCCTTGGCGCGCGAGTTGATCACGTCGATTTCGTGGAGCGAGACCGTGTGCGTTTGCTCGCTAAAAAATATTTTGTAAGCTTAAAAAGCTTGATGCTACATCTTTTTCTGGAGCTCTCCCTCGGGCAAATTGACGAGCTTCACATCACTGCCCATCGCGTCGAACATGGCCGTCGTGCCCTTGGTTCGGCCCACGCGGATTACGCTGCCTAAAAAAATAGATTTGTTTTTCCAATTTTTGAAAAAAGGACTTTTTATAAGGTTATTTATTTTTGCGAGAAATGTTATAGAAAGTATTTTAAAAGCGTGTCTTAATAAAATCTAGGGAGCTATTGATCTTGGGGGGCATCTTTTTTTTGGCTCCCAGTCTTAGGCCTAGGCTTAGCTTTAACTTTGCGTACGCTTGATTTATACTTAGCTTGGGCCTAGGCTTGGCTTAGGTTTAGGCTTAGGCTTAGCTTAGGCTTGGTTTTGGCTTAGCTTAGGCTTAGTCTAAGCTTACTCTCGGCCTAGCTTATGCTTGGCCCAGCCCTAGCTTAGACTTCTCCTAGACTTAGCTTAGGATTGGGCTTAAGCTTAGGCTTGGCTTGATTAGCTCAGCCTTGGAGACAAGCTTAGACCGGAAAAAACCTCCCAAAAAAAAGATGCCCCCCAACATCAATAGCTCCAAATCTAGCAATATCTCGTTTATTTAGACCAGAACATTGAAAATTTCGTCGAAAAATCCATATTTTGTATTTTTAATAGAGTTCATGAAATTTTGAAGTTTGACAATAATAAAAATAATCAACTATAATAAAAAAGTAGGGGTGTCTGTCTGTCCGTCGTGTCCCGGATTCAACTCGAAGGGGAAAGGAGCTAGAGCTTAGCTCTCTTCGGATTCGGATAGAGCGTGGTCAGAAACCCCCAAACTGATAAAAAAATTACGAAAAAGTTTTTGTTTAAATTATTAAAATTAACTTTGAAAGTGGCGCCTTAATAAAACGAGTGGGGGCCCCTCTCCCCGGGAGGCCACGCCCCCTTTCCTTTCGCCCCTCTTCCCCAGGCCCCTTCGCGCGCCCAGATGCCTTTTTGAGTTACTTTAATACTTTTAATACTTTTTAATTATGTTAATTAATTATTTAAATTATTTAAAGTATCTAAAGCCATCAGGAAGGTATTGAGGTAGTTTTTGAAGGGGATTTCAGCCATGGGGGGTATCTGAAGCCATCGGGAAGGGATTTAGGTAGTTTTTGAAGGGGATTTCAGCCATGGGGGGGTATCTGAAGCCATCAGGGAGGTATCTAAGTAGTTTTTGAAGGGGATTTCAGCCATGGGGGGTATCTGAAGCCATCAGGAAGGTATTTAGGTAGTTATTGAAGGGGATTTCAGCCATGGGGGGTATCTGAAGCCATCAGGGAGGTATCTAAGTAGTTTTTGAAGGGGATTTCAGCCATGGGGGGTATCTGAAGCCATCAGGGAGGTATTTAGGTAGTTTTTGAAGGGGATTTCAGCCATGGGGGGTATCTGAAGCCATCAGGAAGGTATTTAGGTAGTTTTTGAAGGGGATTTCAGCCATGGGGGGTATCTGAAGCCATCAGGAAGGTATTTTGGTAGATTTTTAACGGAATTTCGACCCGGAGGGGTATCTGAAGCCATCGGGAAGGTAGCTATGTTTTTGTGGGGGGTTGGCTAGAGGAGGTATCTGAAGCCATCAGTGTAGTTATTGCCATGAAGGCATCAGCGTAAGGTAGGGATTAAATGTGGTGGTGTAGAATATGGAGGGTGGCCCGAAGTCCAGCCGATTGCAGTCGCGAAGCGGCTGTAATCGGCTGGTGTAGAAATAATTCCTCTATTATATAAGAAAAATTAAATCAATACCCTCTTTTTCCCGGCCACAAATCTTGCCATTTTTTCTACCTAAAATTTAAACTCACACTGAGTGCGGTCAATGTGGAGGACATCCCCGCTCTGGACTTCCATCTTGATCATCTTCTCGATGAGCTTGCCGCCCATCTCGTAGATGCTCTCCATGTCCGCCGTGCGCAACGTCAGTTTTCCGAGCTAAAATAGGACGTATTTCCTTTAAAAAATTGTGTAAAAACCTTAGGCCCCTGGCCAGATACCGGCCTGTCGACTTCAATGGAGACCACCTCACCGCAAAGGACCTAAAAAAGTTGAAATTAAAAATAAGCTAAAATTACATCGCTGGTCTCCTTGATGCGGATGGCGATGGCCTGGCGAAAAGCTTGAATCAGCGCCTCTGTGTAGCTGATCTAAAAACGGAAAAAATTATTGAAAACGTTAACGTTTGATACCTCTTTCGAGAAAATCTCCGCAGCATTAATTGCGACGAAGGGCGCATCAGCTCCGAGCTCTTTTGCGATGCCTAAATACTAAAAATTAATTTTCCTATTAAGAGTCCGAGTTTGCCAGATTTTTCGGTCCTGGATTGTTCGCGGCGGGGACTAATTTTTTTTTCCAGTAACGCTGTAAGGTCCAATAACTAAAAATAACCCATTCTTCTCGCATTTTACACAGTTTCAGATATAAAAGCTGGTCAAAATCTATCAAAAAAATTTCGAATTTTTGACTTTTTGGCAAAAAATACATGAAAATGACTAAAAAAAGTCGAAAATTTCGAACTTTCAAAACTGTTTTTGCATTTCCACATGTTTTTTAACTTTCTAGCTATCAAAAACTACGCAAACAATATAAAAATACGGTTCTTAATATAATTAATAACAGGTCTGAATAGGCGGAAAACAAAGATTAGTCCCCTGCGAACAGCCCATTTCCATTTTCCTAGTTCTAGAACAACCAGAATTTTCCTAGTTCTAGAGCCGTGTATTACCTGTAGCAATAGCCGTCTTGCCCGATCCGACGGGTCCATTGATGAGAATGGCCCTTCCGGAGATTTTTCCCTCCTTGATCATCTTCACAATGACACCGGCGCCTTTTCTGGCCTGAACTTGCCCGGCCATTCCATCGGCCACCGGCGTCGGCTCCAGCGAAGGGGTGAGACCGAGGCCTAAAAAAGGAGATGATATCTGTAAAACCCAGGCCTTTTTCCGATTAAAAATAGAAAAAACAAGCTTCTACCTCGAATGTGTGAGTGAAGACTGGCCCGCTCGACCTTGACGATCGGACGCACCTCGACACCGTCAATCGTTGCCATTTCTGAAGATGATAGGGATCAGATCAGAAATATATAAAAGGAAACTTAAAGATTCGGAAAGAAAAGGTGATTGAACTAAGCGTAAAAAAACCAGAAGGGGTGAAAAGATACGCAGATCCGCCACAAGAAGTGATAAGGTATCTTCTTAAAAAGTTACTAAACTATAATTTGCTCGATAAAGTTCTTATTAACTTTCTATAAACTTCGAAATCAAATCGCAATTTTTAAAAACAAAACGAGCGAGCGATTTCGGTGAAAGTACAGGAAACGGGTGTAGATAGTAGCCTATCGGAAAGCCTCTGGTAAGGGATTTTCGGTGCTAAAATAATTTTTTATCGTTTTTAAAGTTTAAAAACTTTTAAATTTGGCTAATTTTTTTTCAGGAAATGTTGATCAGAAAGGGGACTTTTCTCCTGACGCGACAACTCCATCTGGGGCGCCCTTCTTACACCAAAGCCGCGTCGATACTACAGGGATCGACATGGGAAATTGATGGAAAGGCGAATTTTTTTGTGATTTTGCCTTAGATAACTGAAAATCTTAGTTTACGGACGAAATCTGGAGGGTTTAGGCTTTGTAAAGTTATTTTTAGCAATTTTTCTATTCTAAATCGATGACTTTAGGTGCTCCAAAAAGACGATCGCTGGAATCTCTCCCCCGCCGTGCTCCGATTGCTTGAGCGCCAGCTTCTCAATGAGGTTTTTGAAGCAGTTTCGTATCTTAATCAATTCTGTTTTAGCCCGCCAACCCGCTCGCCCTCCTCAAGCAGCGGCTGATCAACTTTTTCCACAAGGAATACCGGAAACCAGGCATGTTTTGCTAGATTTGGATTTCCTAACGAATCTTTGCTAGCTTGCCCTTGTTTAACTCCTATGTTTAGGAAATCGCTCTCCGCTATTCACGGTCTGCGATCGCGAGCCGAGAGTCGTGACGGTGTTCGACAATTTCGACTCGCTGTTGGTCCCGAAGGATCACGTCTCGCGGAGAGCGTCCGATACCTATTATGTTAATGCTGAGAACTGCTTGCGGTAGGTAAACTAGTTCTTATTTTTATTTCTGTTGGGCTTTTTGACGAATTTTAGTATATTTCAAGAGCAAAAATTGTTCTATAAACTTCGAAAATTGCTAAAAACGGCCATTTTCGTTAAAAATTCCTTTGTAGTTAGATTTAGATCTATTCAAGTGAAAAGCTACATGATAAATCGCTAAAAATTGCAAAATTTTATTCGAAAATCTACCACGTTTGGCTGAAATATCGATATTTTTGGTCTAAATGCAAAATTTGTGAAGTTTTATTTATTTTATTTACACTCAAACTTCCGCTAATTTTCTTTGATTACCTGCCCAATTTCAGTGCACACACCTCTGCCCACCAGTTCAGTCTGATGAAGCAGGGCCTCGACAATTTCCTGGTGATTGGCGATGTGTATCGGAGGGATGAGATCAATAGTACCCACTATCCATGCTTTCATCAGGTAATTTTTGCGTTTTCCTCAAAAATCTCGGCTAGCTTGCCTTCAAAAAATTTAATTTTCTCGATCTTCCCAATAATCACTGCTAGTTTACCTTCTAAAATCTATATGGTTTTTCAGGTGGAAGGCGTGAGATTATACTCGCCAGAAGAACTCTTCGGAAATGCTCAACATCGTGATTTTGAACTATTTGAAGATGTGGAGAGGACGAAGGAGAAGCAGGGAAAATTGACCGAGGTAATTTAAGGCACGTTTTTGGCTGAAAATTCGATTTTTAGGACGCCACAAAAGCGCTGGAGATCTCGTTGAAGTCGACGCTGGAGAAGCTGTGCGACACGTTCTTCGGGCAATGCGAGAAACGATGGGTCGACGCGTATTTCCCGTTTACGCATCCGAGCTATGAGCTCGAGGTATGGGAGTTTTGCGCGTTTTAAAAGTCGGGCAGGCTAGCCGGGATGCTTTGAGAAATTCTTGAGAAACGCTAGTTTTAGCGATTTTTAAGATTGGGCGGGCTAATGACATCAAAAAAAATTTATTTCTAAGAATTTGCAGGATTTGGCAAGCTACCAAAAATTCTTTGGGATTGGTTAGCTAGCGGAGACACTTTGGGAGATTCCTAAAATCACCTTTTCTAGGCATTTTTACAAGTTTTCAATATTGTGCAGCTGGTAGAGACGCTTCGGGATTGTTTTGAAAAACTATATTTCTAAGGATTTTTGCAGATTTTTAAGGTTCGGCAGCTAGCAGAGACTTTTTGGGAATTCGTAAAAGCCTGATTTCAAGGATCCCCATTTTGAGGTTAGGCAAGCTAGCAAATATTATTTGGGAATTTATAAAACCTTTTTTCAGGCTTATTATGGATTTTCAAGTTTAGGCAGCTACTATTCTTTAGGAATTTCTGACGTCAGAAAACCCTCTATTTCCAGGTGTTCTATGAGGGCAAATGGCTCGAAGTCCTGGGCTGCGGAGTGATGGAGCAGAAGCTGCTCAACGATGCCGGCATCACCGACAAGGTCCGATCGGGAATTTCGTGTCGTAATCTATTTTTCTAGGCTGGCTGGGCTTTTGGTATCGGGTTGGAGCGGATCGCCATGGTGTTGTACGGCATTCCGGATATTAGGTATAGCCGGTTACGCCACGAAAATATTTTTTGAACTTTTTTAGGCTTTTCTGGTCTCGCGACTCCGGATTTTTGTCTCAATTTTCCGGAAAGGCGCCGGAAGACACGGTCAAGTATCAGCCAATAAGCGCATATCCTCAGGCAGGTTTTTACTGGAGAAAATCCCTAAAAACCTCTGCTAGCTTGCCTCTTTAATTTGCTCTATTTTTAGGTGACGTTTGACGTCTCGTTCTTCTTGCCGCCGAACTGTGAGTTCAACGACATGTCGGCCGACGTGTACGACACGATACGGACTGTTGGAGGGGAATTGATCGAACAGGTAGAATTTCGCTATCATGTCGTAATGGTTTTTTCAGGTGGAGCTGACCGACGAGTTCACGAACAAGAAGAAGAACACGAAGAGTCAGACGTACCGGATTGTGTACAGGAGTAACGATCGGGTGTTGACCAAGGAGGAGGTGAGAATTTGGTTCTCAACTAGCAGGGGTTTTTGGGGAATTTCTGGCGAGCTAGCAGAGATTATTTGTTGGTTGGAACCTGGGGAATTATTATTTTTCAGGGTAGCTAGCAATTTTGGAAAATAGGGCAGGCTAGCATGGGTTATTTGCGGCTTAGAATTTGATGAATCAATCTTTAAGTTTTTTTTTATGGACAGGGTAGCTAGCAGAGATGATTGAGGAAGCGCAGCGAGCTAAGATTTATCCTACCTAAATTTGGATAAATCATTTTTTACGGTTTTTTTAGAAGGGTAGGACGTTTTTGTAGCTAGCAAACGTTTTTTGGGGAATTTTTGGCAATCTGACAGAGGTTATTTGCGATCTAGAACTTGGTGGATTTGTTTTAAGTCTTTTAATGGACAGGGTAGCTAGCAGAGAATATTTAGAAAATAAGGCGTGCTAGCAGAGGCCATTGCATTTTTCCAGGTGAACATCGTCCACAAGGAGGTGGAGAAGCAGCTGATCGATCAGTTCGGCGTCAAAATTCGATAAAAACGGAAATCTCTCTTTGTTTGTACATTTCGCTGTGATCTCCCCTCGGGCTCATTTTTGCCTTATCTGTTTTTCCTCGTTTTTTTTTAGTCTAGCTGTAGTCGGCAGTTTCGTAGTTCTCTTTTGTTGTTTCGGATATTCGGTTACACCATGTTTTTGTTGGGTAAATTATTATCACTATTTTGGGCTTTTCTCGCCGTATCAGAGCACCGCAAGCTGATCGCAAAGTTGATTGTGGAGCTGGAAAAGTTGAATTTAGACGTTTTTGGAAAATATTGTCTAAAAATTTTTAAAATTTTTAAAAACCCACCCCGATCGCTAAAAACGCGGCAATCATAATCCCAGCCGAATCGGAGATCGTGACGATGGCTAGCGAGAATTCACGGACATCCGGTTGGACCTAATGTTTTTTAGAATTTTTATAGCTATTAGGAATTTCTCAAACCTTGGCGTGAACATCGTTGATGGTCTTGATATAACTAGCACCACCGAATAGACCTTCAAAGAGGATCAACAAGAATGTGATGCCGATGTGGGGAAGATAGGAATTCAAGGCTTCAAAGTAGAAAAATACAAGGTTGGCTGTCTAAAATCGAATTTTTATCGAGAAAAGAGCAAAAATTCCGCTCTTTTCAAATTAAATTTAGCCATTTTAAGCTTGGTTAAAAAGAAATGCATCTATTTGAAAATTGTTTTCGGTCAAAGTTAGCTGGTTTTTACAGTTTTCACTATTTCACTTTTGACCCATAGCGAAAAAAAGCATTTTTCGAGACCAACCTGCAAGATCGGCAGTATCAAAATGACGATGCTGTGCATATTTGTGATGCAAACCATCGATCTTGAGATGAAAACGCCCATGTTATAAAGCACCTAGAAAAATTCGGCTTTTTGCGTTTGATAGCAATTTGACGTACACTATACCAACGATATTGGCTCTCGCGGGTCAACCCGAGCCCGGTAGCGCAGTCGAATAGCAGGAATTGCGTCTAGAATTCGCATTAAAAATGATAAAAGAGTTTATAGAACCAAAATTATCATGTAGTAATCTTTATAAACTTACAATGCCCTGGTTTATCGTGTATTCGGCAATGTAGACAAGAGCAAGAGGAATCATATAGGGAAGTAGAGGCTGAAATAAAGTTCTAAAACTCGATTTTACGCCAAATACTCTAGCTTTTGGGCTATAAAATGGGTTCGAACGATTGCGACAGCTTTATAAACTATATTTTCTATTGAAGAAGCGTCTAAAAAAGCTATAAAACTTAATTTTGACGCAAAAACTCCAGTTTTTTTTCTGAAAAGGGCTTTAAATGATTACGATACCTTAATCAAATATATCCTTTCTTTGAGCGAAGCGCTTCTCTGCGCCTCGACCATCTTTTCATTACTGCTGGTGTCTTCTATCATCTCCGCCGCTGACAGTTTTTGCTTTTTAAAAAGCGCGAAAATTCCGCCAGGATGATCCAAAATCACCCAAAAAGCAACGGCGAATATTAGCGGGATGAACTGAATTTAAAAAAACCTGTATAAAACTAATAAAAATTCAATTACTAGCGATAAATGAAGGGTAGTTTCCGGCGAAAGATTTGCCATATGGGGCTCTGTGAGAGCCGCGTAGAGGAACGAGCCTGAAAATCGGTTTTTAATGGATTTTTCACGAGGTTTTTATACCGGAAATTCCTGCAACTCCGGTGCCGCTCGACCATGCCATCAGTGTGCTTTTGGGGTAGTGTGAGGCCAGGGAGACGAGGGTCGACTCGCCGAAACCGCTGCTGAACGAGGTTAACGCCACGCCTGCAAGTGGGTGTAATCAATTGCGATATAGAAATACGGTTAATTCGGAAATTACATGATTTTAAACAGCTAAAGCGCGCTGCTTTTTGTAAGTTTAATGCTGTGAAATATGTTTTTGAGCTTTTCGTACGAATTCCGTGAGGAAAATCTACGTAATTTGGAATTTTACTGTAACAAACTATATTTTTAGGTTTTTGAAAATTATTAAATATGTGGTTTTGTGCTTTTTCTAGCCTACCAACAAGCGACCAGCCGAACGATTTTGTCGAAGCCACCAAAAGCAGCGAGCTAGCCTGCGTGCCAACGACGATTAGCTGACGACACCTAAATTCTTGGGATCTTTATTTTATTTGGAATTGACCCACGTAAAGCTCAATCTGTGCGACAGAAAAATCGGGGCCATGATTTGAATGGCGAGTGCTGGGAGGATGTTGGCCAATAACACAATCCCAGTCGATTGATGACCGTCACATTTCCGGGTTTGGCTTGGAGCCTGGAACCCAATTTTTTTTATCGTATTTCAAAAACACATTGAAAAATTAACTACATACGAAAAAAATTTTAATAATAAAAAATGCGCGTCAAAAAAGCCCAAATAATTTCGGAAAAATCCGAAATTCCTCACCAAACACGTCGAATTCTTCGCCACTTCTATCTCGGTTTTGTCTCGATTTATAATATCCGCAGCAGCGCCAAGCATCAATGAATATGCAATATTATTACACACCCCAAATAACCTGCAAAAACGATTAGAACTTTCAACTTTCCAAAAATCCGAAAAACCATCAAGCTTTTCTCAAAAATCCCCTACCAAAATGCCAAATGGCTTCTCCATTTATTTTTGCGATTCGGTTGGCCCATCTGGTCGGCAAGGGACGTGTACGACAGTTTAGAAACTGCAAAAAATCGAATTTACAGGATACGGTAGCCTAAAATCAGCCGTGAAATAGGCGCGGCGGGTCAGTTTTGATAGCCTTTCAGAGCTCTAATAGTGGGGAGGAGATATCTCGATATCTGTTCGTCGATTGTCGGTCAGTTTTTCTGCCTTTCTCTCTCTCTCTCTCTCTCTCTCTCTCTCTCTCTCTCTTCTCCAGCACGGGATCACCCGATTTTCGTTGGCTCGTTGACCCTTGCACCGCTGACGATTTTCTGCCTGTCCGTTTGTTTGTCTGTCTGTTTATCTCGTTGGTACCTCTCCCTCACCCTCTCTCCTACTTCATCATCCCTTTATTTATGCAAATTTTTATCAATTGAGCTCAAGATTCGAACTCCGGCAAAAAGTGTGTTTTTTGCAGTAAAATTTTTGAATTCCCTGCCATTTATTCTAGTATTTGATGCCATTTTTATTCAGGCTTTCTGGCTAGTTTTAGCCGAGTAGATCGCAGATATGATTGTGTACCTAAATTTATCGTCTTTTTAAATTTAAAGCCACAAATTCCCACCAAAATCGACGAAAATGATGCTAAAAATATGCCAACGGTATCCGATATTGTGCCGACACCCATCGAGAATTCTCGCCCGTCTGGGGAGGCCTTAAATCGATAGTTTTAGAGTTTAATTTCGAATCAAATTTCTAATGTTTTTGATACCTTTTTATGGATATAATTAAGCGTTTTGACATATGCAGTCGCTCCAAAAAGACCCTCGAAAAAGATGACACCGAATGCGATGGCGATATGAGGGATGAAGGCGTGGATCGCTTCAAGATAGAAGAAAACAAGCATTACGCACCGAAAATTGTTGTTTTTTTCTCATAATTTAACGTCGTAATTGACAGTAGACCTGTAGTCGGTAGTCTATAACTTAATTGCTTACCTGAAGGACCGGAAGTACGTATAGAATGAATGACGGCAATCTGACAATAGCCATTGAGGAACGGGAGATGAACACCCCGGCGCGGTAGAGCACCTAAAAATGGAGAAAACTAAACCGAAAAACCACAAATAATTTCTAATTAATTAACTAAAAAATAGATAATGTAATTTTTTATTATAGCCGTAACGCGACCGCAACGCATCTACGGCTATTCCTACCTGAAACCATCGATATTGGCTGGCTTTCGTCAATCCAAATGCATGGGTGCAGTCAAAGATGATCAATTGGAACTGGAAAAGTTGAAATTTATGTTTTCTGCGGCTTTAAAAGCACAGGCAATGCATGGGTCTTATGGATTTTGTCGGGCGCGCGACACGCAACGCGCTGGCCCATTCTTGAGCTGCGAATGAAAGAAGCATTCTCCCTACATGGACAGCGCGTTGCGTGTCGCCGCGCGGCAGAATACATAGCCATGATTAAAGTTGAGGTCTTGGCTAAACTTACTAATCCCTGGTTAATGGTATATTCTGCAAAATAGACAACTCCCAGGCAAATCATCAGTTTTAGAAGGCTCTAAAAAGGAATTTTTTTTTCCTGAAAAGATCCTGAAAACCTGAATTATGGCCATTTTCTCGCGCATCGAAGTAGATCGTTGCATCGAAGTAGACCTGTTCTTCATTTTCTACGTAAACTTCTTTATCCTGGATTCTTCGGCACAACGAGACAATATTCAACGGATGATCGAGGAGCACCCAGAAAGTCAATGCTTAGGTTAGAGGTACCATCTAAAAATTGTATATTTTTAATGTTTTGAGCTAATAAATGTAATTGAACAACGCTAAATTAACGCTAATAACAAAATATATCTTAGCATTTAATAAAAAATTACCATCATAACCAGAAGTGCATTTTTTGGCGAGAGTCCAACAAGTTTTGGTTCTGTTAGGGCGGCGTAGATGAAGGAACCTACAAAGCATTTTTTGAGATTTTCGAATTTTTTAAAAGCTATTTATAGTTTACCAATAATTCCTGCTCCACCAGTCCCTGAAGCCCATGCGACTACTGTAGAATGAGGAAAACGCGAAGAGAATGAGACTAGGGTAGATTCCCCGAGACCCGTGCTCAGCGAGGCCAGGATTACGCCTAAAAATAGATGTATGTTTTTGTCAATTTTTATCGTTATATCAACGTACAATTGATATAAAAACGTTATTAGTATAGTAAAATAATCAATAAAAGATAAAATAAACTATATAATTTTATTACCACAAATCGCAACCGAATAGCTCTGCGGATAGGCGACGATTAGGAGACCGCCAGCTTGGCTGAGGACCACTAACAGGTGGCGCCATCTGGAAAAATTTGAGCTATCGATTCTTAATACATTTCCCATACCAGTAGCTTAATTTATATGCGTAAAATGGTGCGGTGGCTTGCATGATAAAACTCGGAATGATATCGGCCATTAAAATGAGGCCGGTCGAGCGATGCGAGGTGCAGTGTTGCGTGCCGCGTTCGAGCTAAAAAAAAATCAAATTTAGTTAATTAATTAATTAATTTTGCATCTTTTTTCAAGCTGATTAAATTTTTAACGAGTTTAACGAGAGTAAAAATAACCTAAAAATTGAGTTTTAAGGTATTCCGGATTATTTTGTATTTCTTACCGGACAACTGGCATTTCCTGAATCCCCGTCAACAGCGTTTCCCTTGGAATTGATATCCTTGGCTGCAGAAAGCATTAAAATATATGCATAATTATTGCACATCCCAAACAGCCTAGACATATAGTTTTTTTGCTATTTTAACGTTTTTCTTTACCAGAAAGCGGCGATATTACGCATTTTTGAGTCTTCCACCATTCCGGATGAATTTTAAAAAGGTCTAAAATTATTTTTCATGAATTTGGCATCAACCTTTAAACATGAGAATACAACATCAAGCACACAAAAAAATTGGAAAATTAAAGATTTGAGATAGAGAGGAAGAGTTACAAAGTTGAATCGAAAATTTCGACTGGATAACGGTATCTAAAAAATGCCAAGCATCAAAAAACGGGCCAAAAATAACGGAACTCGATGATCTTCTCGCCCCAAAATCAATGAGCAAAAATGGGGGATGGGAAAGCTTTTTTGCGCCGCTTTTCACCCCATTTTTTGGGCGGGTGCTTCATAGGTCAGTTCCGGCCACTTGCTTTTTCAGCAAAAAGTTCGGAAAACTGCCCATTTTTGGGTGTTCACGCGGATTATGGAAAAAAATTGCAAAAAATCTCGATCTCTGCATCAAACTTTATTGGAGGCAACCCGATTTACAGCTATATTTAAGGCGTTTTTAGCAATTTAATATCATACAATTTATCGCATCGATTTTTTTAAAGCTTCACCCGAGTAGATCACAGATATGGTTGTGCAACTGGAAATATGATAATTAGTGAAAGAATATTCTGGTTTGGGACTTACAAATATTGCCGAGAAGGAGGCGAATAGGATTCCGATCGTGTCGGAACAAGTGCCGACACCCAGTGAGAATTCTCGAACACTTGGGTCGGCCTGGAATTAATTTTGGCGATGATTTTCGATGATTTTCTGGATTTCCGGTTTCCCTATATCGAAAATCATTCAGTTCTACGCAAACGGCTTTTTAGGAAATTTTTGGCGCCCAGAACCCGGAAGAAAACCCGAAAATTGACCAAAATGCTCAGGAAAACCAATTTCCTCAAAAATCCACGCTAGCCTGCCCAGTTTTAACTTGGGAATTATTTAAACTGACTGCCAAACTACTTCTAAATTCCTTCAAAATAGCAATTTTTCTCTTCCCTACCGTTTTATGAATATGATTCAACGTCTTCACATATGCCGATCCACCAAACAGCCCCTCGAAGAAGATAATCGTGAATGCGATGGCAATATGGGGCAAATAGGCGTGGATCGCTTCGAAGTAGAAGAACACTGTGTTGCCCAGCTAAAATAAATTCAGAATTTTTATGGTAATGGAAATTTTGATACCTGAAGCACTGGAAGGACGTACAACACGTAAACCGGTAACTTGACGATGGCCATTGAGGAGCGGGAGATGAACACCCCGGCGCGATAGAGAACCTGAAAGATAATTGAGTTCTTGGTGTCTTAAAGGGATAGTGACAGACGGATTTCGGCCATTCGTACACGATATCTAATTTGCCGTAACCGGGTCGTGCAAATCGATGTCACCACCAAAAAGTTTAAGTCTAATTTGATAATTTTGAGCGCACGCGAGTAATGAATGTTTGGTTTTAAAGGGACGTTGACACGAAAATTAGAGTTAACTGGGTTAACTCTAAGGTTCGTTCGTAAGCTTTTACCCACCTGATACCACCGATATTGACTGTGTTTCGTCAGTCCAAAGGCGTGCCCGCAGTCGAACACGATCAATTGCGTCTGAAAAATAAAATAGGGGTAGCTTGGAGCTTGTTATTTGTAGCTTGTAGTTTGTAGTTTCTATTTTTTCAAGACTCACCAGCCCCTGATTAATCGTGTACTCGGCAAAATAGACCAGAACAAGCGGAATTATGTATTTTAACAAACCCTAAAAGATTCTAAATTTCATGGAATAAACTTTCACCTGAATTATGGTCAATTTCTCTCGGAATGACGTTGTTCTTTGAGAGATTTGTCTTGGTCGTTCCGTATATTCTTCCGCGTCACTATCCCCACGACACAGAGAGATCAAATTTTCTGGGTGATCAAGGAGGAACCAGAAGGCGATCGCGAAGGTAATGGGGACTACCTAAAAATAGTTAAAAATTGATAAAACAATGGATTTTTGATGGTCAATAAATTTTATGATTTTGTGCATGCTTTAAAAGCAAAGGATACGCTCAAGAAAAGCAAAAAACTTGCAAATGTCTATGGAGTAAGAAAATCGGAACTAATACATTTTCTAAGTTAAAAAAAACTGTTTTTAACTGGTTACTTTAGTTTGATTTAATTATTTGGCATCTTTGCGCTTTTACCTGCATAACCAGCAGCGCATCCTTTGGGGATAGTCCGAACAGCTGTGGTTCGGTCAGCGCTGCGTAGATAAAGGAGCCTAAAAATTTTTTTGGTCTTCTTAACTTATGGTTTACAAAATTTTGATATAAATTTTGCTACGATATATAAAATTTTGAAACGAAGACACGCCAGAAATACGTGAAAATACACTAAAACGAACCAATAACCCCAGCCCCTCCGGTGCCAGATGCCCACGCTACCACGGTAGAATGGGGGAAATGACAGGAATAGGAGACGAGAGTCGATTCTCCAAGGCCGCAACTCAATGAGGCGAGGACGACGCCTGGAAAAATCATAGAAATTGATACTAGAAGTGAAAAATTGAATTTACCTAAAATGGCGATCCAATAGCTCTCGGAATAATCGACAATCAATAGACCGGCCGATTGGGATAGCACGACAAGGAAATGACGAAGCCTAAAAATGCAAAAATGGCGTTGGGTTACTGTAATTTTTCATTTTTTTGCGTAATAAAAACCTACCCAAAACTAATTTTATGCGCGAAAAATGGTGCAATAGCCATAATTATAAAACTGGGTAGAACATCTGCCAGTAAAATAAAACCGGTCGACTGGCGATTCGAGCAATGTTTTGTGCCGCGTTCCAGCTAAAAAATATTTCAAATTATATAATGGCCCAACGCTGCATATATATTACATGGACAAGCTGATCCTAATTTATACAAAAAATGTTAAAAGCTATATTTTATTTTAATTAGTAAAGCAAAGACAATTTTCTGAACCCAATTATTAATTGACTAAACCATACCGGACACGTCAAATTCGTGCCATTACCCATATCGTCATCTTTATGATTTTTCTCGATAATATCCTCTGCTGCCGATAGCATTAAAATGTAGGCATAATTGTTGCACATTCCAAAAAGCCTGCAAATTTGATTAATAAATGTTATCAAAATTCATACCAAAAAGCCGTTATATTCCGCCATTTTGAGGGGTTTAACAGCATGATTAACAGGTTTAAAAGCCTGAAAATTAAAAAAAATATTCATTAAGAATCTAAAAAAATCAGAAAATGTTTTTGAAAGACGGCTGATGAAGCGAAGATCGGTCTGTGGCGGGGGGATAGACATCAAAAAGTGAGAAACGGCAAAAAAGGCGTAGAAAGGGCGATATTTAGCGCGCTGCTATCAATCAGACCGGATCTAACTGAATGTTTCATGACGATTTTCACACCAAGATCAGCAATAAGTGCCAAAAATATTAATGAAAATAGAAAAACGAGATTTTACTAGTTTTTATTGCAAAAATTCCATTTTAAACATTAAAATAAATAAAAAATAGCAAAATTTAGGTATTTTTTGAAAAATAGAAAAATCACATTTGCTTAATTTATCGAAAAAAAACGTTTTTACATTCTAAATAAGGCGATTAAAAAATTAATTTATCACAGTTGAAATTCTAATTAAGTCAATTGAAAACAGTAAGTTAAAAGGATTTTGGTTTATTTTATTTTTCAGTTGCCGAAGTTAAAATTTATTTATTGTAAAGGAAGGGTTTTTGAACGTGAAAAATTTCTGATTTTCGAACTCTTCACACCAAACAAATATTTCAAAAGCACAGTTTCATGCATTCAACAAAACCCCCCTCTGACTGTCCAGTCATAATAATTGTTGTCCTTTTTTCAGGGGTCCAAACCCGAATCAATGATCCGAATGGATAGATAGAAAAGAGAGAGAGAGAGAGAGAGAGAGAAAGAGAGAGAGACAGAGAGAGAGAGTACTGGTAGAAAAAGGGGTGGGTGCGCGACAAATCGCCCCGTTTATCCCCCCCGCAACCTGGCTGCCAAAAAGAGTGAAGGGGTGAAATATCAGATCCGTCCGTTAGTAGGAAAACTGTTCCGTCTCTCACCTTCGAGAACTGATGGAAATGGGTGCAGATTGAGGAAGTTGATCTGGACAGAGCGTGATTACATCTAAAAAACAGGTTAAACAAGAATTGTTTGATTACTGCGTAAAATAGGGGTTCATGCTGCGGATTCGCGGTGCGGAATTGTGGATACGGTATCGACCGCACTAATTACTGTTATTCTCTCTATTTTACGCAACGCAAATATATTCTTCTTAGCAATGCATTCTTTCGTTTTTTAATCAATAATTCTAGGAGACTTTGATGGAAAGAAGCTAATTTTTTGACACGCCTCTAGCATGCTTCGCAAAATTTTTAGTTTATCAAATCAAAATAAGCACTTTTGTTCCGAAATTCTTAAAAAGTACTTTGAGCCATTTGCATCCTAAATTAAACTCAGATCTCGATCAGAGTTTTCTTTAATATTTCCTGTCGCTTTATATTCTCCTCTGTTCAAAATAAACCCTCGGATTTTGGCTGCAAGGTGTCAAGACCAGGCCCGTAGCGCTACGGTATGTGAAATACGATCCCGGGCGCCCCTTTGGCCCCTCGAAAGAGAAGGATCCCACGATGAGGTGCCAAGTCCCTTTAGGAGGGGTCTCTCTCTCTCTCTCTCTCTCTCTATCTCTCTATCCCTCTCTCTCTCTTCTGTTAGACAATAAGATACCCTTCCTTTAGAGGCGCTAATGGATCGGCAAATGATACTCTTCCCCCTCTCTGGTACTTCAGAATCCGGGCCTCAATTCGGATTCTAAACTTGCCTCATCCTTGCGATTTCTTGGCCTTCCACTAACTGTAACTTGGACTCACTTTGAATTCGTTAATTTGGCCACCTCTGTTTAAAAAATGAATTGTGATCAAATAGACGGTCAAGGAAGCCAGCAAAATCAGCAGACTCATCCGCAATTTCAGGTTTGTGCTGTTCTGGTATGGATTTTAAGCGAATAGCAGACTAGCAAAGCTTAATAATAAACTTAAAGGTGGCTTAGAAAAGAAATATAATTTGATCACATTTGGGCAAACTGGCAGGGACCGATTGCGGTTCTAAAAGCGCATCGGATGATGGAAAAGCGCATCGGATTTTTAAAATACCAGTATTTTCATGTTTTATTTGTTTTTCTGAGGTGTTGCTTTGATTTTGGTTCAAGGATCTTTCAGCTGTCTTACTCAAAATCGCAGAGTATGCCGCTCGTCGGGTGCAAAACTCGACCCAAGTTCCGCCAAAAATGCATCCGGCCCGGTCGTGGAATCTAGATTTTTGAGATTTTTTAGATGGGAATCCTTGGCTTTACGGTTTTTTTTTTCTAGCCAATCTGTAACCTGCCACCCTATAACTTCAGAATTTATCTAAAAATGTTTATTTGAAAAATTTCATAAGCAGAAAATGATCGAAAATATAATTGTTATTCTTCGCATTACCACGGACAAATGTCTGTCGTCTGTTTCGCTAAATTCGCCTTATTTCCAGTTCTTCCTCGATGCCTACCGTATGACAATTCCCGAGGCTACAAATAACGGGCAGTCAGCGTTTGTATTCGAGCCTCCACCCCTATATGATCAAGCAATTGTACCGGGTAGCAATAATGGATATATTGAGAAACATGGTTAGTTCAATTTTTGATTTTTCATTTATGCTTTTGCAGTCTAAATTTTCAATATATAAAAAATTAAAATTTCTATTTTATTTACATAAAGATATAAACCATTTTTTAATTATTTTTTAGGTGGTTCCCATGCCCCTCAACATATCCACCTTCGCACCCAGCAAAATCGAAGGAAGCCCCGGGTTTTATTTACCAGTGAGCAGGTACAAAAGTTTTAAAAAATTGCCATAAAGTTTCTATTGATTTTAGATTCATTTTAGTGGTGTCTAAATTAAATTTTAGCTCCAAACTTGACCAATATAATATTTTATCGTGAAAAGCTAAAAAATCCATTCAAAAGCTTATCTGGTATTGAAATACTCAATAGTTTCTAATTAAAATTATGAATTTAAATAAACCGCTAACCCTTTTTGATAGGTAACCGAACTAGAGGAACGCTTCAAAAGGCAGCGCTACGTCTCGGCGGCCGAGCGGGATGAGCTGGCGACAACTTTAGGACTTACTCCTACCCAGGTTTGTATCAAATAACAATTTTTCGTCTCAAAAAATTCTAGGTGACCGGAAAACCATATAATTCAAATTGAATACCGATTTTCAGGTGAAAATCTGGTTCCAGAATCGGCGATATAAATGCAAGAGAATCGACCAAGACCGAACGCTCCAATTGACACAGCAATTGACTTCTTTCGCGCCTCAGGTAAGTCTTTGAATAGTTTAATTGCCAGATTTAATAAGTTACTTTAAATTACCCAAGTTTTTTGTCCTCAGAAATTTGAAAAAATTGAAAATTTTGATAAAAAAATTACTTCTGATCTTTTAGATGCTGACCCCGGCGTTATTCAGCGGCGGGCTGTTTCCACAATAAGAAAAATATACAAAAACGTATTTTATGTATTTGATTACGGCATTAAATTATTTTGTAAAATGAATAAATATGAATAAATTATTGCTCGTCATTGTCATTATTGCTGTGCGGCAGAAAATGAAAATCCTGGGCCTCGGAGCGGAGCACGGCTTCTTGACGCCTAAAAAAGTCTTAAAATACCCAAAAAATCGGATTTTAAAGCTCTAAAAATGAAACTATTGCTTTTATAATTAACTGACCTCCATTTCGTCCTGCGATTCTGAAACCACGTCTTCACCTGGGCGTCTGACATCTGAAGATGGGCGGCCAGCATTTGGCGGTCGCCGCTTGCCAGATATTTTTGATCGGCAAATCTTTGCTCCAGGATTGCTACCTAAAGCAATTATTTAGCTGTAATGGAAATTTAAGTTATGAATATACCTGTAGCCTAGTAAATGAAGTCCTCGGTTTCTTCAGCTTTCTCCTCCCCCTTTTGCTCTTCGGATTGGGTTTCGGTTCCACAGATCGCTGTTCCTCGGATGAGCATTCGAGCTGGAATGGGAAAATTACTTATACGGCTTTTGCCACCGCGGTAATCAACTTTTAAAAATTGCAAAATTTTGGAAAAGCATATTTCTAAATTTTTTACAGTTTACAATGTAAAAATTAAACTTTTTTGGAGATTTTCATTTAAACTGGTTTGAATAGTTCATAAATTAAATAGTTTCAATATTTTTCATTAGTTCATGGACTTTAAAAATATCGTTTTCAAAGCTGTTGAAGTCGGTATTTGCTATAAGGCTTTCATACAAATTTGTTGGTGTCAATTAGTAAACTTTTTGAAGTTTTACCTGGCCTTCCGTAAAATCTTGAGGTTGATTCGGAGTTTGATGGAGACCTTGATTGCTTGTTGCATCAGAGAAAAAGTTTTCCTTCAACAATTCAAAAATGCCGAAGGGTTGCCGACTCTGCTAAAATCAAACAGGTAGTACAACTCATAAGCGAAACGCCAAAAAACACAATTCAAAAAGAGGTTTTTGAATAATTACCTGCTGGTGCTGAAAATACGGTGGAAAGTGTGGGAATTGGGTTTGCATTTCAGACAAATTCGAATTCAAAAGTGGGATTAAGAAGGGAGGTGGCATTCAATTAGTGGGCCCTCCAAAAGTCAAGCCGTTAATGTCTTGCGCCTCCCATTTTGTGGCCCAATCATCCCGTTTCCCTGTTCCTTTATAGCCCCCTCAAGGCGTTTGGCCCATCCCAATTGGATCTGAAAATGGGGAGCTGCCCCAACATAGTCAAGAACGGTGCAGGGAAAAATCTGCAAACAGAAGAAATGGAATCTAGTTTGACATTTAACTTTACGTTTTCAGTCCCCGGATAACACAAAAATAAGTCCAAATTTTCCCTGCTTTAAGATTCACCGGGCTATGTAATGATGAAACATCTGATGCATATCAGAGGTTGAACTACTCCACGCTGCCAAGTCCATACAGGGTGTCCCAAAAAAAAGTGCCCAAGTTTGTCCCCAATTATCTCGAGAAGGAAACATATTTCACCGTGCGTTACCATGCCAGAATGCTTAAATATGTCAGGAATAGGGAAATAACTCAACTTGATTTTTTCGATTTTTGAGTACGCAACTGTACTATTGACGCTGGTTACGACCGAAAATTGTGCGTTCTTGAACGGGTGGTGGGAAAATTCTGATTTTTGGCCCAAAAATCGTTGGCATTTGTAGAAAGCTAATGGCCAAATATTAGAATTTTTGAAGCTCCAGTTCTTTTTTTACAAGCAAAACAAATTTCACTGTTTTGTATCTTTTTACATTTTAATTGGCAACTCGCTTCAAATACGCTGCCCATGGCTGGTTTTTTGCAGATGGTGTCTCCGAATGATAATCTTTAGCACAACACCAAATTTTACCTGATTCTATGGTATTTTAATATTGCTTGCTAAAACGTGCCCCAGAGGGATACTGTAGCTTTTGTTTTTCGCGTTTTTCTTTTTATTGTAAGCTGCGATTTCGCTCAAAATTTTACCATCGGTAAACAATGGTAAGGGGCAGCCATGGGCAAAATATAGCAAATTTCTAGCCGCACACTTTCGAAAAATATACAAAAAGCTAATTTTGTAATTTAGCCACGGCAATTTCTAAATATTTTAATGAATCGGACGGAAAACTACTATTATTTGTTTTCCTGAAAGATCGAAACGTTTCTATGGTGAAACGAACGAAAAAACGGCGATTTTCTGTTTTCTACAGTAACCCACCTGGAGCGCGTTTTAGCATGCCAAGGCAAAATTCCATAAAGTGACGGTTTTTCGATTCTAGACTGTTCACTGGGTGATTGTAAGAGCACCTACAAAAAATTACTTGATTCCTGTGGCAAATGACAAAGTTATCAGGGAAAGAGGAAAAACCCCCTTGGGCGCCGATTTTGGACCCGACGCCCTGGCTCGAAAATCGAATTTTTGAAAATGAAAAAGGCATCGGGGTTTGGTGGATACAATTAAAGCACGTATTGAACTGTGCATGAGAGCAAAATTCTGGAATGATCTGGCTGAAGTGAATGGTTTATTTTGATTTAAAACCCGAAAACAACGCTTTTGAAAAGTCGACTTTGGGGAGCTCTTCTAAATTCGTTTGCCATAAAAAAGGTTTTGTATTTCCATGGGTTCTGGTTGATTACCCAAGCTTGGTCTATGCCAGAAAAGTTGGGGCTACGAAACCCTCGAGAATTTTTTTATGTCGCCTCGAATTCGGGTATATTTGCACTTTTCAAGAATTCATTTTGAGAGATCGGATGGCCCAATAAATTTGTAAATATAATCTTAGAAGGCGCCCATTAAGTAGTATTAAATAAAATTATGACAATAATCCTAGCTAATCCTAATTTTTTAGACTGGCACCAAGGTCTGCGAAATAGCACAAACCAACCGTTTTGGAGGCGCTAAAAGGCAACCTTCCAAAGGGGTACGGTAGCTAGAAATTGTGTACATGATAGATGGACGCCAGTCCTACATAACTAAGCAAAGCAAACACCGAAATTCTATCTGCAATTTTAGAAATATTTTTCCAAAGTTCAGTTTCGTGACCTCGAAAGAATCCATGACCCGGGGGTCGTCAAAAATCTCAAAAATCCGCGGTTCTGAAAATTTTTTTTGATATTTTTGTGGGATTGTATCGAGCCTATAGACATGCTAAAACAGCTTATGTTGAGGTTTCCACCATAAGTTTTTGTAATATTCGAAATTTACGAAATTTCTCCATATTATATTTGAGCACGCTATAACTTGCGAACCTGACCTTCAAAAATTCTAAAATTCCGGATGTTCGTAGGGGCGATCCTGAGGTACCTACACTGGAAAAATTGGACGTGTTCGACCACCAGCAATCCAAAAAAATGCAAACGAAGTTCTGCCGGAACGCACAGTTTTCGGGTGTCATTTGTATTGATACGTCGCCAAAAATCGAAAAAATCAAGTTGAGTTATTTCCCTATTCCTGACATATTTAAGCATTCTGGCATGGTAACGCACGGTGAAATATGTTTCCTTCTCGAGATAATTGGGGACAAACTTGGGCACTTTTTTTTGGGACACCCTGTACAGCTATCTGGTGCGCGGAATTGTGTTCCACAGGCACGTAACGTAACGGCCAGCGATAATTGATAAGGCCTTGCCAACAGCCACCTGGTCTGCCCGAAGCATGGCGCAATTCAAATCAGGAAGCCACGTTATGGGCTTTGTCTTTTACCTTTGGAGCTTATTAATAATTGTCTCCGATTTGCCCGATCGGATGTAATGATGGCCAATTTCATAAGGGATTTTTTTTTCTGGCACCCCGTAGATTCTTCACTTCTCTCTCCGGTTTAGAACTTCCCATTTATCGGCAAAAACAGGCTGTTTTTGAGGACAAGTATAATGTGCGGATGTTTTTCTTCGTCGAGGAAGTCCGGGGTAAGCATTTTTCGGTAATATTTCTATAATAATCTCGAAGATTACCACCTTTTGTAAAAAAATAGCCAGTTTGGAGACGTTTCCTAATGTTCTTAATTACGTATTATTTCCCAATTACCTGATTGCGTATTATCCTATCCTATAAGCGAGAAAAGTATGTTTGTTTTCTGTGCAGCCGATTTCTCGGCCGTCAGGCCGAATTTCGCGCTGATTTTTGGCATGGAGGTGGAGAAACACATCCTCTTTATAAGCATTTTTTGGTTTTTCGAAATTCCTTCATTTAACGATTTTACAAGCGAAATAGTGTAAAACCCTTAACATTGTGGCCAAAAAAAGGTTTGTACAGAGGATATTTCGCTATCCAAATGGAATTGGGCGCTAACTTTTGGAGGGTAGATTGAAAATTGAATTCTCCCGATATATAATTCTGCGTTTTGTCAGATTTTGTAAAATGAAGTTTTTATGAACATTTTTATAAAAAGTCCTTAATAAAGTGGGCCAAGAGCCGTGGTGTCCGGGTCATATCTCAGAGCCCAGATGGAATTTCGGTCTGGAATTTGGACAAATTATGTATTCGATGGTGGGGATCACGCGCATCTTATTATCTTTGCAAATTTTCAGCTGATTCAGACTATAAAACCGAATTTTGTAAAGTGACCAGTAGGCCTCCCTCCGGGGATCATTGGGTTGCCCTTTTCTTTGTCTTCCCCGCCCCCTTTCCCCAGGACAGATGAGGGCTTTCCCGCCGCCTGTTCGTAGCTGTCGGATGGTGTAGTGGCTTTGCGCCCGGTCTACCATGCGCATGGTCGTGAGTTCGAATCCTGGGAGAATTTGATTTTTTGCTTTTTGGTAGTTCAGTAACAAAACATATTTCTAGGCTCTGGGTGCGCGAGATTTAGGCCTGGCTCTCGCTCTAGCGCCGCAGGCCAAAGAAAAGGTCCTTGGTCCAGGCTCTTGCGCCGCAGGCCAAATCCTCGAGAAAAACCAGTAACTAGCGCTGCAGGCAAAAAGATTCTAGTAGCGCGAGGTTTAGGCCTGGCTCTCGCTTTAGCGCCGCAGGCTAACGAAAAGGTCCTTGGACCAGGCTTTGGCGCCGCAGGCCACAGAATGGCTCCTTGACTCACATTCTTGCGCTGCAGGCTAAAAAAAGAAGGTGTTGGAATTCATCGTTCCTGGACGGGTCCAGTGGAAAAGGGCCGCGAAGCGGGCTTTTTCCACTGGTTCTTTAATATCCGCGAATTTTTGGCCCATGCGATTCCACCCTCTAAACCGAGAACAAGGTTCTGATTTAGCCAAATGAAATCCCTCGTGTTCCTCCATCGCGATAAGGTAGTTTATTTCGTAAAACGCATTGAATCGGCATTTCAGCTCAACACAGCTATTGTCCTCCGTTATGACTCGGATAGGTAGAGCAGCACCGCTTTCCATAACAATATTTCCTGTAAAGATATGTCACCATTGGAATAACCCCCGCGTCCACATGAAATTTGAACAAGTGAAGGTGGGTTCCAATATATGTTTGCCGTTTTTTTTCGGATAAGGGGCGTATTACTTATTTGAATATTTCGTTCGATTAGGTTTATTAAGAAACATCAATGACATTCCAGTTGGAGCTGCTACCGACGGATGAGACAATGAAAGTGACATCGGAACAGCTGCGTGAGTGGGTATATCAACGTACTATGGAACCGGTAAACGAAGGGGATGCTCCACTTGGATGGACGGTATGAGAATCGAATCAGAATTATTGTTGCGTAACCCTAAAAGATACGCCATTTTATAGGTGAACTACCGACCGACATTCGATGATATAAACTGCTTTTACTATCTGCATTGTCCGCTACCAAATATGTCCTATTGTCATGAATTCGAGGAAATGTGCTCAACATACTAAAGGTCCTTTTATCGACCAGGATACAGCGACCTGCGTCTGCACTCCACCATCAAATAATTATGGCTCCCTCTCACACGATAGTTAGATCCTTCTTGATTTCCCGAAATAATAATGCTTTTCCTTGCTGTCGGCCTTTACAATGTAACCAGGGTTGAAAAGCCGCTTCGCGACTTTTCAACCCTGGCCCCGTCTCGGACCCCATACTATTCGGCCCTTTGCATAATTGTCCTTCATTCAGAAG